GAGTCCATTCCGACCCACAGCGCCCCTAGAGGACAGAGTGGAACTGCACACAGGGTCTCCACGGCTGTCAATCTTCACAGAAGCAAAGCCCAAACCACACCCACTGCCATGGAGTCCATTCCGACCCACAGCGCCCCTAGAGGACAGGGTGGAACGGCCCACAGGGTGTCCAAGGCTGTCATCTTTACGCAAGCCGACTGCCTCATCTTTCTCCTGCACAGCGGGTTGGAACCCCCGACCTTTCGGTTAGCAGCCGAATGCTTTAACCAGTGCGCCACCAGAGCTCCAGGACACGAACAAAAAGGAAAAGATACGTGCTGTCGACATCAAGAGCTTTAAACATAGAAAGTTATTCTCGAGAATAAAAAGTTAGCACAGACTCGCTAGTTGACTCAGTTATACCTGACAACACTTCTGCCGGTCCACACGCCCGGCGTGATGGCTGGCCTCTCAGTACCATCAATCAGACTTCGGCGGCTGACACAGGAACCCTGGGTCCCACGGGCGTCCCTCGCCCCGGGTCAGTCTCAACCACCGTCCCACTAGGTCGCGCGCGACGCTCCTGCGCAGCCCCAACCCTCTTCGAGACCCTGCCCCGAGGAGCTCAGCGGCGCGGGATGCTGGGCCTTGAGGGGTGCGACCGTGACGTGGGGGCGACCCGGGCCCCCCAGCCCTGGCGACCACCCCTCCCGGCCCAGTTCCCATGCACCCGGCTTACTCGGCTCGGCGCCGCATCCCTGCGCTCCGCGCCGCGCTCTGGGGCGAGCTGAGGGCCGCAACCCGACAAGGCGCGGCAGAGCAATGGGTAAAGGGGCTTATTCCTGAGCCTCAAGGCCGCCATTGCCCCGCATCCACTCGCCTGCCGTGGCGCACGGCAGCGTCACGACGGCGCCAGGAGCTGCCTTACGGCAGTATCGCAAAGCCCAAAGCGGAAGCGGGGGTGCGGCCGACCTGCGCTGTCCGGGCGGTGTGAGGACCGGGCTTGCGGGGACAGCCGAAGGCGGGGAGGGCGATCGGGCCGGCAGACGCTCCTCGGCCGCGGCCACCCCAGGCTGTCTTGCACGCTGCTCGCGGCAAGCCGTGCGGACGCGTCGCGGCCCGAGGCCGCTCCCCGGGGTTCGGGGCGTTCGGCCGGGGGCGGGGCCGCGGCTTCCGGGCGGAGGAGGGAGCGCGAAGGCTGAGGAGGCGGCCTGCGGAGCGCGATGGCGCGGGCGGGACAGG